ATCTAGACATATTATAATGAACAGGAGATAGTAAGTATTTATTAAATAAATGGGTCGAAGTAACTATTTAACACAGACGGACCCACCAGGCCACAAACCGGCCACCCATCTGACAAACACTTCAATGATCTTTACTCACGGCCCTACATAAATACAGCTAACTATAATTTTGTGAAACACGAACAAAATACTGTAGCATGGCATGCTTTTAAGTTTTAATTTCTACCATTTGATAATTACTAATCAATAAATGAACAAAGAATAATAAATTATAAGAGGAACATTTTATATATTAATTGTGCCTTAATTGGTGGTTTGTAATATGCGCGATTTCCAGATAAAGGTATAGACAAACGAGAACCGAACCGAACCATGCTATTTCTGGTGATGTTTCTACCCAATGGACATGTCTAAATATATTTATCTACCCAATAAATAACTTATGATGTGATTTTGGCCATTTATATCATAAGATTATGTGAACTTAGTGAAAATCTGGAGAAAACTTAACATTAAATCCAACAAGCAAATTATTGAGCACACATTTTATTCCATTTTGCCACTTATACTGCAGCATCACAACAATAAAGCAAGTAGAAAAAAACACACACGATTGAGACTAATAAACATGAAAAAAAAAAGAAGATGAAATTACATAATAAGAAGAACAATCTAAAGAAAGCCCTTCTCTTTGCAGCTTTTGATTGCCCCATCAAACATCTCCGCAAGCCCGTTTTCGTACTTGAACCCGGTTTCCTTCAGTTTTTTCGTCGAAAGGCCCGAAAATTTAAGAGGTATTATGTCCTTCCACGATCTGCACGTACAAAAATCGAAATGCCTCCTCATTTCAAATTTCCCACCAAAAAAATTCTAAATAAAAAAGGGGAAAAAAAAAACTTACTCTGGATCAGGCATCTTGTATTCAGGGTACCTAGCCGAAATAAATTCGCTTAATTTGTCTATAGTAAACTCGACAGCCGCACAAATGTATCGCCCTTTTGCTTCTGGATACTCGAACAGATGTATATGAGCTCTTGCAACATCGTCAACATGAATCAAACTTGTGTCCTTAACATGCTGGTAATGTGCCTTGTCACCTGACTCAAGTCAAATTATTCTTACAAATTGAGCTTAGAAAAAAACAACATTTTTGGTAACAATTAGTTACTACCAAACATAATAAACTGAAAAGAATTTGTTGGGCTCACCAAAGATCAAAGCCATGGACACATAAACCGAGTCGGGTATATGCGGGCAAATAAACGGACCCGTGACCCAAGTGGGCACGACGCACACAAGGTCAAGCCCGAGTTCCTCCGCGCATTCAACTGCGGCCTTCTCGGCTAGCGTCTTGGTGACCATGTAGGGCCCACCGAAAGCCTTGAGGCTCCTCACGAAGTCCACGTCGGTCCAACAACTCTCGTCGATTAGGCCCAACGGGCCGCGCGCCGTGGTGCCGGCCGCGGCCGATATGCTTGAGGTGTAGACCACGCGACGGACAGTCTTGGCATCCGCACAGGCCCGAAGGATGGCCCGCATTCCCGTCGTGACCCGGTGGACCTTCACATCCTCGGGCTCCTTCTCCTGAAAATCGAGCGGGTGGGCCATGTGGAAAAGCCCGACGCAGCCCTCGATCGCGGGCCCGAAGGTCTCGGGCTTGTCGAGGTCTGCGTTGAAGATTTTGAGCCGCTCGGCCGCGCCCGGGAGGTTCGTGAGGTAGCTGATGTCCCTTTTGCGCTCTAGTAAAAACAAAATTGTCAGATATTCATATTTTTTATTTTGGAAAAAAAAAAGAAGAGAGAAATCGCAAAAAAAAATGCATATTTATACTTGAAATGTCTTATTTTATTTAAAATATGGGAAAATTCTATGGTCCCGTTACGGGATGGTATCGTCAGTGTTTTTAACCGTTGGATGAGCATATAGATTATCTTGTGTGGATAATCTACGGTAACCAATCAACGGGACTGTAGTAGTTTCCTAAAATATGTTTTAATTAAAGTACGATATTTGAATAAGAAAATACGTATTTGTCGGATGTGTACTTTCTTTTTTTAACAAAAAACGCGAGATCGAAGCCTAAAGACCTCTAGATAGTGGTATTACGTGAACGTGTACGTTTTTAAAGTATGACATTGAACGAATTATTTGATAATTAACTCTTGAATAACTTGAATAAACCTGGATCGATTCTTGAAGTGGTGTTGACTTGATATCCATCTTCAAGAAGCCTTTTGACCATCCATGAACCAAGGAAACCGGTTCCTCCGGTCACACAAATTCTACCTTTCTCACTCTTCACCACCATTCTCTCTCTAATTCGATTTTTTTTTTCTTTTTTTTTTTTTGTGTGTTTTTGCCTTTTCCTTCTATGGTTTGATGCAAAAGGGAGCCATAGGCATATGCTTATATATAATACTTTGGACAATATCCCTCAGGGGGCATTCTTGTCTTTTAGACTCGAGGACTACAAATATAATTTTCACCACATGGACCGCCTGGCAAATTGTTATAGATAAAATATACATTAATAATGTATGTACTCAATTTTGTCTAATCACGGATAAAAATACATGTAATCATTACAAAATATTGTACGCTGAAAAATAATATAGATAAAAATACAACAATAATAATGTATGTACTCAATTTTGTCTAATCACGGTTTTTTTTTTTTCTCACAAATATGTATATTTTCATTAGAAATGTCATACTTTAAAAAGCAATACACCCATAAGTATGAATTTACGTTCAAATAATATAATGGGTCAAACTGTGTAGCTATTAGACTGACTCGCCAAAAAATTTAATTTATTTTTGTAATAATATTAGTCGACTCGTCTAATCGTTAGATACAATAATTTGTGTTAATTTATGGGTTTCTTTTCACCACACCGTACACGTCAGAAAAATGTTTTTAAATTTGGGTCAGTTATTAAATGTGTCTTCAATGCATGACGGGGCCACGTTTTATGGCTGTTTTTTAGTTTTGGTATTAGTTGTCGCTTGAGATATGTATAATGTATTCCACGTTTTATTTTTTTTCCCCTCTTTGTAGTTAGATGTATTGTTATAATAAGCATTTTTGCCATTTTTTTTAATTTATTTTTAAATGTTTATACTTCTATAATAACTTCAGACTGAATCAACTTTTGATCGATCACGCTGGCAAAATTGCCATACGAGCTAACATTTTTTTTTTCCCAAACGATAGGTAATCTCATAGCAAATCGAACAAATTTACACAAAGTTCATACAACTGAACCATACGAGCTAACATTGACTCTGTTTAAATTTGTGTTTTTTTATTACTAATTTAAATAAAACAAATAAAAAATAATAATTCACCAAAATTGTGGTTGTGTTTTACATGTGTCTGCAAAATAAATACAAGGTTAAAACCCTATAATAAAATTAGTGGGCAGGTGAATGAACTTCACCTTCCAAATTGTTGAAATCTTTTGAAAAGCATTTATGTATTTGTGTGGTAAATATTTTACTATTAATGTTTTACATTTATTGTTACAAACCTACCAACACATTTGCTATTTTCTGCACCAACTTATGGGAAATGCTACGATCATGTTACGTAACTATTTCGTCGAGATTTGTAACTGTTAAATCATCATGTATAATTAATTATATTTTTGTTTTTATTACAAATATACTAATTAATTATATGTTGTTGAAATAGTATAATGATTGACCCCTTAACATCATAACAGAATTTGTGGTATAATTTATAATTGACTTATTCATAAATCAAAAGAATGAGCTAAGTATACAAATGACTTATTCATAAATCAAAAGAATGACTTTATAATTTAGAATTTGTGATATACAAATGTTACATTATATTAAAAACCAATAGAAACTATAAAAAAAAATATATACATCACGTAAAAAACAAAATACATAATAACACGTGATTGACATCTCTCCTGTATAAAATTCTCAAATGTGCTAAGCTTACGTGACTGCTTCTGGTGTTTCGGAATCATACTTGGCGAAGAATCATGCTTCGTAATTAGGTTTGGACAAATAATATTAATATATTAATAATTAATAATATAGGTTTGGACCTTTCATAAATTTTAGTTAGCTAACTTAGGTATTTTAATATCACTTGTACTAATATAACCCTTTAATTCTTTGTAATTTTACATAGTGAGACACTAAGTGAGTGACTAATATATCTCTTACTTTTGATTTGTTTCCTTCAATTAGCTATTGAATTATAAATGTATTTTAAAAGTTGATAACTTTTGTATTTCTTATCAGTTTTTATTTCTTATCAGTTTTTTTTTACATATATAATATATCAAATTAATCATCTTTTCATGATCTTCGATTTGACATCCATATTGTATATATAAAATAAATAAATTATATTTATTTTTATAATAATAAAAAATAATAGTATTTATTAAAATTTATTAGAAAAATAAAATTATTTCTCAATTGGTATATTTATGTTTAATGTAGTTATATGATGTAAGTTAAAAAAATTATTATAATATAAAACAAGTAAGTCACACAAATAAAAAGTGTCATACTAAATATAAAATAATA